CTTCAAAGGAAATAAAGGTAAAATCCTTCTTAGTTGAAACACAAGGGGGGTAGAGTAATGTAGTTTTTGCATGATCTTCTTTAGTTTATCAAAAGCATAAGAATTTCTATAATCTTTAMTGGTGACGTGGATGTCGATGTCTCTTGTCCACGGTATGATGTTTTTAGCTCGCACGGCACCMAAKGCAGTACCGTAACACACCCGATAATCTATTCCTGCTTGCTGTAGACCTCTGACTGCATCAATCAAATATCGATTTAATGCAACATCGCAACAAAATGGTGACAACTTTCTAGAAATAGTGTTATTTATCTCTTGCAGTGGCTTATTAGGACAGAAATATTCATTTCTTGTACACTGCGTCCAGATAATTGAATCTCTCCGAATAACTCTTAARATATTGTGATTAAATCCCAAACGACCATAGTCCAGATAGATTTCCTTGGATGACATAGCACCTCTGTCGTTGGCCAACTGTTCATCGKTGAAGCTACAATTAAACGAACTTGCAATTTTTAAAGTGCCATTTGATCTCAGAGAAAAATCCAGTAATGTAGTATCCCCGTGTGAAGGCTTGAAGCCGTCGATATCGTTGAATACGTCCCTTCTTATAACAAATGGTCCTTCGACCATGTTGCAGTTTACAAACGAAAACAAATCGTTCGATAATTTTCTTGTGTGCRRTTTTCCATCTTCTTGTATAATCATAGTCCAATGTTTAGTAAAAAATCGACATGACTTAACTGAACGACTGCTGTTACCACGACATGAAGCTCCATCGAAGTCCTTCCATGATTCAAGGATTTTAACAAGATGTCTGACTCCTTGACATGACTTCAAACTGCAGGAAKAACACTTCACGTTTCTCGGCAACACAAAAATATATTTCTGGTCTTTACCATCTTGACTGCCCGTTTGATCAGTCCCTATAACCTCAACATCCCAGTGGTCTTGTTTGTTGTTGCTGCTGCAGTTAATTCTCGAAGAAAGTACTTCAAACGCTCTATTGAATGAAAACTCACACGGTTCCATAAATTCGTTGAATACAAGGCCAACAATGAAGCACAAAGAAATAAAGCCCAAAAAACAACGCGCTATTTTTCTTCTGAAGGCAAGCATGCTATTATAATTGGCTTTCCTGGCGTGACACAACGTTCCACATACTATTTTCACTAGGGAGTTATCATTATTTATTGGGGGGGGAGGGCCACTAAATTTGTGGGGAGGGTCATATTTTTTTAAAGGCTTGTTTGGGGAGGGTTGGATTTTTTAAATCAGCTTTATAGGGAGGGTCACATATTTTTTGACTAAAGAAAATAAAGAAGATTAAGACTTTGGTATTTATTGTCAACGATGTCATCAATAGAAAGGTATTTATTGGTTCGATATAAAAACTGTGGTTTATATATAGCAGTATGACATATCAGAAACTGTATACACGATATCCTTGAAGAATAATACTGAATGAGTTGATGTAACTGTAATCTAAATAAAGTCAACCATCAGGATTTCTAATGGAGTACATGTACATATCGGCAAAACTATTTAGTCTGATAGAGGCTCAAGGAATGGTCTGCATGATGTGGTGTCCCAATATGGACCTATGGCATCATCACTGTCAGATGATGAATCATTGTAAATGTTTTGCAAATGAACATCATATGTAAAATCGCTGTTGTAATCAAATTTGTGATAGTTGTTGTCATCACTGTCAACATCACTGTTGTCATCACTACGACGATGACCATCACTGTTGTGATCACTACCACCATCACTGCTGT